ATAAATTTAAAATAACATAAAAATATTATTATCAAAAAAAAAATACAATTTGTTGTCACAAACAAATAAACAATTTCGCAGTTATAGCTTGAAATTGATTTCAAATCAAACTAACTAACCGTACGTTCATGAGATTTGACGTCACGCAGCCGATAACGGTGAAACTAAATGCCAATGATGAGTAACACGTTTCACTATTAGATTTCAGTATTTTTTAGCAATTTTCTTCAAAGTTTGAACACGCTTTTCTCGATTATTACTGGACCTAAAAAGGTGAAAAAAAAAACCAACGATTACAGACAAAAAACTCTTTCAACTGATGGCGTAAAAAGTTTGGTTATAATAGAACGTTAAACTGTATAATCCGATATTTCAAAAGAACTTTCAAAAAAATTCAAAAAGTAAAACCATCAGTTTAAAGGCAACGTAATTTTGAATAACTTGTCCAAATTTCGAGATATTTTGTCGGTAAATAACAGAGAAAACACTGTATCTAGGTTTTGGTGTACCGATAAAACAGCCTTAAGCTGTATACTAAATGAGACAACATACTTATAAATTTAAATTTTTAAGTGAAAAAAATATTTTAAATATGTACTTAACTACTTTTGTACAACTGTACACATATATCAACATTACTGACGATATGTTCCTCTTTATTCCCATGTCATGACAGCTAGCGGTAGTCGCATTTTCGACATTAAAAAGAGTCCTCATATAGAATTCAATATTACCTGAAATAACTACATAGTTTGACAAGTTTTGTAACAGCTTCAAACTTTTTTTGTTTTATTTTTAAGTATCTGTTGCCATACTCCAATGAAGGACCGCTGGAATTTTTTCTATTCATACCTACTTTATAAAAGGTCATGTTGCTACATATTTCTGTCATAGACTCTTTGGTTTGAATGGGTTTACCGCTTTCAAATTTGACAAATTTAGTTTTGGAAATACCCGTTACGGAAGTCTTGACATATGGCATCACCCATTGTTTATAATCTCTTACTTAAAGTACTCTGTCACCTGGAGCTAGATCTCCGCTTAATCTCAGACTGTGTTGAACGAATACAACATTAAAGGAATTTTTTTTTCTACATATTTTAATCAGCTTAATGTAAGTCTCAGGATTGTCAATCACTTCCAGTTTCAGTCTTTTCTTCTCAATGACGCGAAAGTCTCTATCCACTGGCATCATAGAGTGTCCTGGGATATCATATTTCAATATTTTTAAAAATATTTCTTTTGCATAACTGGTCTAGGTCCTCTCCTCCTCAGTCCTAATCCCTTTTGAAATGTGGTGACACCATCAGGCCTTTACAGGTTTTTCACGATTTCCCTTCATCATTCTCTGTCCTGGGCTAGTTCTTCGGTTTCATGGAACCCTTGGTTAATCAATACTTTTGTTTGATCTACCCATCTTTCCCTAGGTCTCTTTCGTTCAACTTTACCCTCGACTATAAGTTTTTCCATCGTACCTGTGCTTCTAGCAATGTGTCCAAAATACTGCAAATATCTCTGTTCTATTTGTTTAAGCAATCTATACTTTACTTTAAGTTGTTCTAATATCGATACATTAGTTTATGATCAATCCAGTACATTCCCAACATGCGGCGGTATACCCACATTTCAAAAGCGTCCATTTTTTTTGTATCTGCTTTCTTTAAGGTCCACTTTTCGGACGCATATGTGGCTATGGGAAAAATGAGCGCCCTTACCAGCCTTAGTTTTTTGTGTATTGTTATGCTAGAATTTTTTTAAATTGCTTATATATAAGTGCAAATACTGGTCTAGGTAAGAAAAAGAAAATTGATTTTTGTTTTGGCTAAATGCGTTGTCACAAAAAATGTTTAACTTTGTATGCAGTGAATCTTTGTGTTTTTCAATATAAAGTTATATAGGTTATAACCTCATTCGGTCCTTTCTGAGCAAAATTTTCCGTGTAAGTTGTGTTCCGTGTTGTTTTATGTGTGTTTAGATTCTTCTTCTTCTACTTCTTCACAGGCTTTACAACTCGGGGTGATTCTTCGCCGCATCCACTATCGCCTTCCATCCTCTACGATCTTGCGCTTCTATTTCCCATTGTTGTACCCCAATTCTAGATAAATCGACGTCATCATCATCCTTCCATCTTTTTCTCGGTCGGCCTACTGATCTACCATCTGTTTGTTCCAAAAACACTGTCTTTAACACTCTGTCATCCTCTGCTCGTACCACGTGACCTGCCTATCTTCTTCGGTTTGCATTGATATGTCTAACTATGTTTTCAGTTCCATACAGAGTCACCAGTTCAGCATTGCGGCGTCTTCTCCAATCCCCTGTGAATTCATCTCTTTGAGGACCAAATATTATTCTGAGAACCTTTCTTTCAAATACTAGAAGCATATTGATTTCCAGCTGGTTGAGAGTCCATGTTTCACTGCCATATGTAATAATTGGGCGAATAATCGACTTGTACAGTGTTAATTTAGATTTTTTTTTAGCAGCTTCGATCTTAATAATGTTGAAAGGTAGTATAATGCTCTATTTCATGCAGCTATCCTTGCTGAGTCCTCTTTTTGTATGCGGTTGAGAGCTGACTTTAGGAGTGTGTTTTTAGATTGTGAATTCCAAAAACATACAAACATAACTGACTAATATAAAATTCATTTTGCGCGTTAGTTACAGGCAGAGGCAGTTTCTTTTCATAATCAAAACATATAATCATTTCAGAAGAATCAGTTGATTTTTAAACTTCAGCTATGTTTTAAATATATCTGCTTTTCTAAGATTAATCTCCTTATCCTTTTTTAGCGTTTTAAGGTTTCCTCATTAGATTCCAGTTCAGCTTGCCTTATACTAACTAGGTATTTTGTACAGGTGTTACATATATCCTTTCTTGGATATCCAAATGAAATTCTTCATTAAATACCATTGCCAATTTTCATGTAGTTTAGTGATTGATAGATTAGGGTCCAAGTATTTTCTATTACGGCTATCTGATCTTGTATAGTGCGATTCTCGAGCTGGTAATTCAGCAATAAATTTTGTGATCATAAAAATGCTTTTTGACATAAAGACACTTTTCCATTTTCGGAATTATTATTAACCTCGTATGAGAAGACTGTACTACTTCCTGATTGTTGTTTATTACGTACACTTAATCGGTTTTTTATAACTTTCTTAACACGACCTTGTAAATAAATTGTTTGTTCTGAATAGGTAGATAGACTACAGTACTTTTCAAAAATATTTGCTTTCTGTAAAACACTTAGCTTAGTTGCAAACTTACACCTACAAAGGTCAATTTCACGACGTTTATTCTTCTCTGCAAAACTATTTTTCTGTTTTAAAGTTCTTTTCCATTTTTCTGGGTTTCTAAACCGTTTCTTTCCTTTTGAAACAGAATGCAAATTCTCGGAATCCCCTCCAACAGGAATAAAGTTATAGGTTACATTTTCTGATTCTACAACGTCTCCTTTATTATTTATACTACTTGAATCACTAATCATCGCAGGTATACTATTGCGAGAAAGATTTCGTGAAGACATGTGAAGATCATACCCACTTCCCGAGTTTACATCTTGATACGACACTGTAACTACTTGATTCTAAAATAAAAATGTACTTTACTAAACAAATAACCTTAAAATCATTCTTCTTCCTAACGTGCCCTATCAAGTCCCCTTGACGTTGGCGATTAACATGGCGAAACTGTCTCTGTCTCGAGCTATTCTAAATAGTTGCTCAGCTTTCTTTATTCCTGTCCACTCCCTGATATTCTTCAACTAAGAGGCCTGCTTTCTACCAATTCCTCTGCCTCCTTCGATTTTACCCATCATAATAAGTTGAAGAATATTATATCGGTCTCCCCTTACTACGTGTCCAAAATAGGCCATCTTTCTACATTTGATGTTATGAAGCAGCTCGCGAGCAGCATTTGCTCTTTCAAGGACTGCCACATTTGTCATCATAGCCGTCCAAGGAATTTTTAGTATACGTCTGTGCAGCCACATCTCAAAGGCCTCCAGGCGATTAATCGTGGATATTTTTATTGTCCATGCTTCGACACCATATAAGAGGACTGACCAAATGTAGCATTTAACCATGCGCTTTCGAAGTTTATGCGTGAAATACAATATTAAACAATAAGCATAACTTAGTAAAATCATTATTTTTACTAAGTTATGCATATTGTTTAATATTATATTTCACATTTATTTAAACTTCTTATTTATTTTTAATATATCATAAATAATATGGAAAATATTCGTACCAAAATCAGACATTTTTCTCTACGATACTTTCGTATAATTCCAAAATATTCACAGATCAAAGTTGCGCGTGAATCTATTTCATCAACAAACTTGTAGGTTAGGAATCCCCATGTCAGTAGCAACACTAGCAACAAGTTGTCATGTTCATAGACTTGGACACTTTTTGATACTTAGCAACTTCTTGCACTGAAATTATAATTGATTAAAATTTTCAGGTATGGGATTTTACCCAGTAAGACACTTTTTATTAGAACTTTTTATTAGATTTAAACGCAGAATGAAAGATTACATTATTATCGAGGGCTGAAAGTACCTGAAAACTTCTATAATGTTTATTTTAGTAAGTTAGAGGGGTGAAAAAGGGAGAACATTAAGTGTGATTTTTAATTTTAAATATCTTATTCAAAAGAAACTTTTTGTTTATTCTAAGGAACTTTCCACCCTCGGTAATAAGGTAATCTTTCAGTCTGAGTTTAAATTTTTTTAAAATATTTATTAGTTTTCTCAGGATTCGAAAAAAATGAATGCATTTAAAAAGCATTTGCCCGAAATTTTACGCCCACGCTCTTAACTCAATTCTTAAAAAAAAATATGGATATAGCTACTTTTTGAACTTACACCTTCAATTGTCATTTAAAGAGATATGATACATTATTTATTACAAGACAGCAATTACTTTATTTAATTTAATAATATTATTTAATTAATTGTATGTAGCTCATACTATTTATGTTTTTATCTTTACAGGTAGTGACATTCCACCTTTCATCACATTCCAATAAAATGTTTTTTACAATTTTCTACATGTATGCCACATTACTTCAACGGATTAGACTAGGGAATTTAAAAAACAAATTAAACGGTACATTGAATTCAAAAAACGCACTTCTCGTTTGCGACGAATCAGTCGTTCTTGAATCAAAGCGAACAAGAAGTTTTGAAAATTTACTTTTCCGGAATGATGAAAGAATCGGATGCACAGTGGTTCCGAAGGTAAGCAAATAAACAAGGACTGTAAGAACCTTGAAATATATTTAATATTGCAGTTGGATTGTGTTATCTATTTGTCAGTCAATATTTTGTAAAGCGGCGGTTAATGTTCGTTGTGTTTATATTTAACATTTTGTTCTTTATATAGCCCAGTCGTCAGCGATTTCACCACTAAAAATCATACGAACCAGCTGAATTTTGTTGAAAATGTCAATTTTGCGTCCTCAAAAAAGACACAAAAAAAGCAAAAACTGCAAAAAAGACACATAAAACCCTAGGCATTTGAAATATGAACAAAAAAACACTAAATTAAATATTCACATCACAAACGATCGCACTGTATGTACGATCTTGATCTTGATAAATTTGTAGTTGAAGTTTCGAAAAACATACTTGTATAATCAAAAAGATGCAGTTTTAAAGGTTTTAGATCGTTTGTAATGTAAAAGTTTAAATTCAGCCTTTTTAGGCATATTTCAAATGCTTCACACTTGTTGCCGGAACTCAAAACCAAAATGTCAAGGTATATATTTTGAAGATTGAGCTTTAATAGTAAAAATTCCATAGTGATCGGTCAATGAGATAACTTTTTGTTGATCGTATGAGAATCGTAAAAAATGGTAAAAATCGCTAAAAGTTGATTTATAGAAACCTTTATACAAACTGACTTAACGAAAGCTGCTCTCTTCACCTTAAAGCGCATTTTGATTTTTGTCGATAGGACTTCTTCTTCTTTTGGTGCCTATTCGTTTCGAATATTGGCGATCATTCTGACTATAATTATTTTATTAACTGATTCTTTCAATAGATTAGTTGTTGTTGTGGAGAACCATTTCCTCAGGCTTTTTAACCATGATATTTTTTTCTCCCAATTCTTCGCTTTCCGAATACTTTGCCTTGAAGGATTGTTTTCAATAATCTGTATTTAGTTCCGTTTCTCATTAGGTGTCCGAGATATTACAACTTTCTCCTTTTAATCGTATACATCACTTATCTTTCTTTCTCCATTCTTCGTAGTACACTCTCGTTGGTTTGTTTTTTTCGTTCATGATATCCTAAGGATTCTTCTGTATAGCCACATCTCGAAGGCTTCAAGTTTTTGCTCCATCGTTTCAGTGAGTATCGAGGATTCAACTTCCTAGTATAATATCGAAAAGATATAACATCATAGGAGCCTTACTTTTATCTCCAGATTAAGGTTGTGACTTTTAAAGAGTTTGGCCATGTTGTTGAATGCACTCCTAGCCTTTTCTATTCTACATTTTACTTCGTGTGAGTGATCCCATTATTCGTTTACTATTGTTACAAGATAGGGAAATTATTTTACTCGGTTCACTGGTGTATTATTGATAAGCAGTTGGACGTCTTTAATTTTATTTTTACTGATGACCATAAATTTAGTTTTTGATATGTTTACTTGTAATCTTTTACTTACTTCATTTACTTTATTAGTTGCTATAAACTGTTTAAACTGTCTGCAAAAATAACGGTGTCATCTGCATAGCGGATGTTGTTTAGGCGTTCCCCATTTAAAAAGGATCCCATATTCGCAAATTTCCAAGGCTTCACTAAATATTTCCTCTGAATATAGGTTGAATAATATAGGTGAAAGTATACATCCTTGCTATCCCGTTACCAACCCGCACAGCGTGGTAGTGAAATGGCTAATTTTCCCCGTAAATGACATGACACAAACCAGAAAAAGGCATTAGTCCCCGGCGGCCCAACGGTCCCTGGTGACGGTAGCCATCAGATTGGACCAAGGGCAGAGGGTGCAAAGAATCACCGGGATAGACACGGCTACCATGGACAACGAACATTGCATATTGTCACTTATAACGTAAGAACGCTTGCAACTGAAGATAAGCTCATTGAATTAGAGGAAGAACTTAACGGCATAAAATGGGATGTATTGGGACTTTCCGAAATACGAAGAAATGGAGAAAATCAATTAGTTTTAAAATCAGGGCATCTGCTACATTCCATTGGAGAAAACGATAAGGCAGCTGGTGGCGAAGGCTTTCTGGTGCACAAGAAACACCTAGATAAAATTATAAAAATAGAGAGTGTAAGCTCAAGAGTTGTGTACTTCATATTAAAACTGAACGAGAGACGCTCTATTAAAATTATCCAAGTATATGCACCCACGACGAGCCATAGCGATGAAGAAATTGAAAACTTTTATGAAGATATACATGGAGCAATAGAAAAAGATAAAACCCACCACCTAATCTTAATGGGCGATTTTAACACTAAACTCGGATTTAAAGAAGATAGCGCAGAAGTGGCTATGGGTTCATTTGGATATGGTGAACGAAATGATAGAGGAGGTGTGCTACTACATTTTTTGTTGCATCATCGGCTCTATGTGATGAACACATTCTTCAAAAAGAACCAACAACGTAAGTGGACGTGGGCTAGTCCAGATGGCATAACAAAAAACGAAATTGATTTCATCATCACAAATAAAAAAAAAATCTTGTCCAAGATGTTACAGTAATCACTAAAATGACAGTTGGGAGTGACCATCGGTTGGTTAGAGCAAAAATAATGATCAACATTAGACGAGAGAGGACAGCAGTGATAACAGAGAGGCATTCTAATAAATGGAAATCGATAGAAGATATAGTAGCTTATCAGAATCTCATAACTTCAGAATTGAAAGAAGTAGAACAAGTAAATGAAAATGCATTAATGAAAATGTAAATGAAAATGGATAAACTCACTCAAGCTACTAAAGATCTTATAAACAAAAGAAGAGAATTGAAAGACAAATACACAGATAATTTTGTAACATTAAGACAGTTAAACAAAGATATCACAAAATCCATTCGAAAAGATGTCAGAAATTACAACACTGAATACATAACTCAAGCCATTGATAAAAATAAAAGTTTAAAGGTTCTGCGCCGACAAATTACTGAAGGATCAAAAAATATTTGTAAACTTGTAAATAAAAAGGAAAAACTACAACAAATAAGGAAGATATTTTAAAAATTGCTCAAGATTTTTACTTAGAATTGTATAAGCGAGAAGAACTTCCAAATCCTGATCAAAATCAAATACCAAAATTTCAAAATGTAGGCTCAGAAGATATCCCAGATATCACAACAGAGAAAATAAATTCAGCTCTCTCGGAGATGAAAAACAATAAATCACCTGGAGAAGATGGGATAGTCATTGAACAAATCAAAGAAGGAGGAGGAACGTTACTAAATGTGTTGAAAAAGATGTTCAATGCTTATTTGACAAGAGGCATAATGCAATAATAACCATAATACACAAAAAAGGTGACATTTCAGACCTAAAGAACTACAGACCTATTAGTTTGCTCTCCCATAGATACAAACTATTCATGAAGATAATAACAAAACGGCTTGTGAACAAACTGGATAGTTACCAACCTTATGAACAGGCTGGGTTCCGCTCCAGGTAGGGAACAAATGATCATCTGCAAGTTGTATAAGACTCTAATAGAAAAGTGTACAGAGTATAACAAGCCTATCTTTCTTATATTCGTAGATTATGAAAAGGCGTTCGATACTCTAGATCATCATAAAATGCTTTGAGCATTGGCTGACTGCCGCATTGACTACCGATATATTGCCTTGATTAAAAGTATTTACGAAACTGGTACAGCTTGTGTCCGCCTTCATGAAGATACCGAGAAGTTTCGAATAGAACGTGGAATTAGACACGGTGATACTATCTCCCCTAAATTGTTTACAGCTGTTCTTGAATATATGTTCAAGCAAATGGAACGAGTGGATAATATGGGAATTAATATAAATGCTGAATTAAGTGATGACATCGATTTAATATCTGATAGAGTTGATAAAGCTACAAAAATGCTGCACACGCTCTATAAAGTGTCAAAAACAATTGGTCTTAAAATTAACACCTCAAGAAAAATTGATGACCAACCTTGTAGTCAGCGGTAAAATTCTGATTGAGAGCCATAGCATCGACCAAGTAATAGCTTACAAATATCTAGGGCATGAGGTTCGCCTAGGCCGAGATAATCAGACTGAAATACAATGAAGGATAGGTCTCACATGGGCTGCCTTTGGCAGATTGAATAACATTTTCAAGTCTAGTATCCTTTCTTCTTCTTCTTCTTAGGGTGCCTGTCCGTTCCGAACGTTGGCGATTATTCTGGCTATGATGATTTTGTTGGTTGCTATACGAAATAGCTGTGTTGAGGTCTTTCTATACCATACTCTCAGGTTAGCAAGCCAGGATATTCTTCTTCGTCCTGGGGCTCTTTTTCCTTTAATTTTACCCTGCAAAATGCATTGGAGTAGCTCGTATCTGCCTTAATTTCTCATTATATGTCCCAAGTACTCCAGCTTACGTCTCTTCACAATGTTGACCAAATCCGCGGTTGTGTTCATCCTCCGCAGTACTTCTTCATTGGTGACTCTAGTATCCCAGTTTGTTTAAAAAGAAAGGTTTTTAACCAGTGCGTTTTACCGGTTCTTACATATGGTGCAGAAACACTGACTCTGACAAAAAGAACAATAGATAAAATAAGAGTTACACAACGCGCTATGGTAAGATCAATATTAGGTATTACTATCAGAGATAAAGTACCAAAGATAGAAATAAGAAGAAGAACAGGAGTCTCAGATGCAGTTGAAAAAATAGCCAGGGCTAAATGGGCTTGGCCCGGACATGTTGCCAGATTAACGGACGACAGATGGACCAAAAAGATTCTGGAATGGCGACCAAGGCAAGATGCATATCGAAGCAGAGGACGACCACCGACTAGATGGACGGATGATATCAAGCACATCACCACAAACTGGATGCAAGAAGCTCAAGACAGAAATAGGTGGAAAATTTTACGGGAGGCCTACGTTCAGCAGTAGACAAACATAGGCTAATTGATGATGATACATCCTTGTCTAACGCCTCGAAGAATCTGGATCGCTTCCGTGGGTTCATCTCCAAGTTTTGTTCTTATTGTGGCTGATTGGTTACAGAATAAATTTTGTATTATA